CCCCGGGCCCGGGGGGTGGTGTGTTTTATAGTGTTGGTGAAGTGGATCTCCGTGTGCTTTCTAGGGTTTGCCAAGGTTGAGAAACACTGGTTTACAGACTACAATGGTTGGCATCACACTCTTATAGATCCTGGTCTGAGGGACCATGCAGGCAAAAAAATAATAATAATCAAAATAACGCTTAATGAACAGGCCTTTACACATGCAACCTTCTCCAAGGACAAAACTCTTGATGGACCAGTTCACACTGGAATACAGATGTAGTATTTATATTTAGAATTTTAGGGTGAGGCTGGAGAACTCATGTCCTATTTAGCAGACATACAGCTGTTACTCTTAAAATCAATTAAACGTTCTTGTCTTAAAAGATCTGAGCCATGGTTGGTATCATTGAAAATAGGGATGAGGGTTTTTTAAATCATATTTTATACAATGGACATTTTACATTTTGTAGCTTTCCCAGAAGACTTTTAAAATGATTGATGCTCGATAATTCAATTAATAATTCAATAATAATTCTAGTAATCCAATAGAAAAACCACTAAGAGCTCCTTCCCAACCAAGAAGGGCTGTCTCTCTATTTTACAAGTCCTAGAATTCAGAAAGTGATATACTTGGTATCCTAGGAGACAGTTACCCAAAGTTCTTCCTGATTTAATAAAGATTTAGATCAATGTTTCTCAACCTTTGCAACTTTAAGATGGGTGGACTTCAACTCCCAGAATTCCCCAGCCAGCATGGGGAATTCTGGGAGTTGGAGTCCATACTTCTTAAAGTTGCTGAGTTTGAAAAACACTGATTTAGATGAATTAGACTTATTCATTCATTTATCCAGTGTTTTTATACAGTTGGGCTCCCAAGTTTTTAAAGTCTACATTTACATACATTATATGTTTTAATCAACTGATCAACCCAGAAGGTCTGGGCAACAGCTGTTTTGTGAAAGGCAGCTATCATACCTGTATTTTATTTCCAGATATATCTGGAATTAAAGGGAAGGAAGAATAAGATCCTTTGCTACCCATCTGATTAAGTGGCCCTGACGCCTTTGACTCATCGTGGCTACTTCAGAATCCACTCTATATCTGAAATATATGAGACACAGCAATCACAGGAACACATCATCTTTCTCCAGAAAGCCAAGGTAATACTGCCTTGGGTTAGCAACCATCAGGGTCTTATTAAGGCTAGGACTATCATTCTGAGCATCACCGGACAAGAACATCTTCTTGGGCGGCCAATCCAAAGGACAGCTGGGCAACTGCCACCAGTTCCAGGTGGAACTTCCTCGCTTTCAATGAAAGAGAAACCGGGCTACCTCAACCGGCCCGCTCTAAAGAGCGCAGAGAAAAGAAACCGGAGGCCTTCGGAAGGCCCTTCCCACCCCCCCAAAAGGGCCTCGCACGTGGCCCTGAGCCCGAGCCCCCCTAATGCCCGGGCTCGGCGAACCCGTGAA